TAAGCTTTGAATCCTGAATCCCCGAAGCGCCCCAAAACCCTAAACCTAAATCCGAAAACCCCGGACCGAGCCTAAACCCTAAACCCTAAACCCTAAACCCTAAACCCTATAAACCCTATAAAACCCTATAAACCCTATAAGCCCTATAAGCCCTATAAACCCTCTAAACCCTAAGCCCTAAACCCTAAACCCTAAACCCTAAACCCTATAAACCCTAAACCCTAAGCCCTATACCCTCGGCCTAGAGGTTCCCTTAAAGGAGCGCCCGCCCGAGGATGGAGTACCGTTCTTGCGTGGAGCAAGCACTTGGCGTGTGGCACCTGCCATCCATGCGCTTCGACGTTTCAGGGTTTAGGGCTTATAGGGTTTAGAGGGTTTACAGGGTTTAGGGTGTAGGGTTTATAGGGTTTAGGGTTTATAGGGTTTAGGGTTTATAGGGTTTAGGGTTTTAGGGGGCCTAAACCCTAAACCATATATATATATATATATATTTTTTTTTTTGTTTTTTTTTTTGAGGGGGGTTCCTTATTATAAATACAGTATAAAGGGCCCCAAAACCCTATTCTAATTATTAAGGCCCCTATATTAGGTGTCTTGTTTTGTTGGTTTTGGGGTTGGAAGGTTTAGGGCGTGTAATTTTATGTTTTTGTTTTCCGGGTTTAGGGTTTCGGGTTTGGGGTTTAAGGTTTCAGGGTGTACGGTGATAATAACGTGCGGGCCTCAACAGAAATTGTAATGTAGGGCTCTACAGGGTCCTGTAACGGGGGTATAGCATAGAGGCTTCGATGAGGGTAGGGCTCTATTGGGGCCTGTAAAGGGGCCATAGCATAGAGCCTTCGATGAGGGGAACTGTTAGGTTTTAGGGTTCGGGTTCGCGCAAACGTATAGAGCTGTAATTATTTGCAGCATCCTTTGAGAGTCCTTAAATGGTTATGGTATCATGTGCAGCAAAGGTCTATTCTAAGTACTAAGGCCCCTGTACCGTCAAATAGGCCATAGACCGCAGATTTTCGAACCCTTCAAAATCCACTTCTTGAACCTTAAAACCGTAAACCCTAAACCCCAAACCCTAAACCTTAAACCCTTAGAGGAACGTTCGTTTGGCGGGGATTATTTATGTGTATCCGAGGCAGATGGGATGTCGAACGCGCTCAAGCCTGTAACCCGAGAAGCCCTGTTGCTGCCCTGAGCCATAAGCCCTAAACCGTGAAGACTAAACCCTAAGCCCTAAACCGTAGACCCTGACCCCTAGACCGTAGACCCTAAACCCTGAACCCTAAACCCGAAACAGCTTATCAATCCCTAACATTTTTCGTTGAGGCTTTAGGGTTTAGGGTTTAGGGTCTACGGTTTAGGGTTTACTAAGCCCTGACGTTTAGAGGTTCGGGATGTTTAAGTTTAGGGTTTAGGGTTTAGGGCTTAGGGTCTAGGGTCAGTATCCGAAGCTTGAGGTTCAGGGCTGCGGGTTTCGGGTTGGCGAGGCTGCTAACATCACGTGTTGTAAGTTAATGTCTATGAATCCTTTCTTCCTTGACTCGCGGCATCTGCCTGTCTAACGTCTCTGACTTGCTACGTCTCCCTAAACCCTAAGCATTTTTTTGACGAGTTTGTTTCATAAAGTCGCACATGCGCCGGTTGAGGGTGTAGGGTGAACTTCACTTGGAATCCCCAAAGCTTGGAACCCACAGCCTTCAAACCCCCCAAAATCCCCAAGACTAAACGTAAGCCGTAGGTCCTAATCTGCACGACACAGGCCCCAAGCCCCATGCAGAACTCTAAGCAAACATCCTGTACAGTAAACCCCAAGCACCAAGCACTCAGGAAAACGGAGGACGAGTTTGAAGAGGTCACGGACGACGGAGAGATCGTGGTGGCCCTTCTCCATTAACCTTAAACCCTAACCCCGTAAACCCTAAAACCTAAACCCTAAACCCTAAACCCTAGCCCCCCAAACCCTAAACCCTAACCCCCTAAACCCTAAACCCGAAGCCGGACGCCTGGACTTGCGAGTGTAGGGCTTTTCGAGCTTGGCTTAGGCTTGGAAGACCCAAGAGCTCAACTCCAGAGCATTTTCGTTCAGGGTTTAGGGTTTAGGGTTTAGGGTTTAGGGTTTAGGGGTTTAGGGTTTAGGGTTTAGGGCTTTGGGTTCAGGAATTGAGGGTTTAGGGTTTGGGGCTTAGGGTTTAGGGGTTGAGGGTTTGGGGTTCAGGGGTTGAGGGTTTAGGGTAGAGGGTTCCGGGTTGAGGGTTCAGGGCTTAGGGTAGAGGCCACAGGGCCCGAAGTGGATTTGTTTGTTTCTACTTCTCGGATCTCTTATCTGTTTTGCCATGGTGAATGACAAGTCCTCCTGCGGTTGCAGTCGACGATCTGCGTTTAGGGGTGTAGGGTTTCATAATAGGGTTTTTTCGCGGCACGTGCCCGAGTGTCGAAACCGATTTTTTTGGGAGATTCAGACAACGGGGGTAATTACTTAATTGATGTATCGATCCTAAGTGCTATGAGGACCCCTTAACATCGGACCTCTGAGTTTTGGGGAATCCGTGTTGGTGTTCACGACCGATGGAACCCTCAAGCCCTAAACTTAAAACTCAGTGCCCTAAATCCCACAACCCTAGACATCTAAAGCCCTAAACCCCTGACCCTAAACCCTAAACCCTAAACCCTAAACCCTAAACCCTAAACCCCAAAACCCTAAACCCCAAACCCTGAAGCCCAAGGTTTCCTAAAGCCCTAACAACATCTAAACACACTGAACT